GCTGATAACACCAAGGCCCCGGGTTCGGATCCCACATAGGGATGGCCGGTTTACTCACTGGCTGAGCGTGGTGCTGACACCACCAAGTCAAGGGTTAAGATCCCCTTACCGGTCATCTTTTAAAAAAAAAAAAAAAAAAAAAAAACAGCAGAGGTTTAGCTGGGCTGAGTTTACACAACTGAGCAAATGTGTATGAGAAGTGGCAGCCCTGGGCATCTGAAACGGAACAGACACTCAATTGAGACATCAGAGTGGTTTTGGAGGAAGTGGGGAGAGGGAGTGGCAAGGGCAGCATGCCGCACCCAAGGACAGGGAAATGCCACCAGGAGCAGCCCCCTGCTCCTAGCCTGCAGGTGAGAGCTGCGAAGCTGCAGCAGACTGTGCGCTGATGACCACTGAGGCCCTGGTGTGGTATGCACAAGCTCCTCACCAAAGTCACCCTAATCAGCCGCTCTCCTCCTCTGCCCTTCAGGGGGGCTTGATCCCTGAATGAATTTTTCAGTGAAACAACACACACCCCTACACCCACCTCAGTCCCATCAGCAGCAGGCCCTGAGGTTACCTGAATCCTGGACAGATGCTGAGCAAGCCCTTGCTGGCAGCATCCCAGGCCCAGGACCCACCCCCAAAATGCCCTCTAGGCTTAAAAGTGCATCTTAAAACATAAGCATCTGTAAACAAAATCGCCCCCCAAACGTTTACTTACAAGGTTAGCAACTAACGCCTTTGCTTAACTCCAATTACACTCTCTGAAGCCACTAGCTGAGTGGATGCTGAAGTCCCACTTACTAATTTGGGTAACTGATCTTCAAATTTGTTTTGTTTTTTTATTCTGGAGATTAAAGACACTAGGTCTTTAACCTTGAAGGGCGGGCAAAAGGTCTGCTATGCTGTCGACATAGAAGTCAGGGACCATCTTCTTCTTAGCCACGCAGTCGCTTTCCTGGTTACTCCTCACGTCCCCCAGAGTGGAGACCCCGGTGAGGGTCAGCACGGTCTTCAGGCCGCAGGTGGCACCCAGGAGGATGTCCGTGTCCAGGCGGTCTCCCACCATGACTGTGCGCTCGGGGTCGAGGCCGTACTCCCGGGACACGCAGTCGAAGATGAAGCGGCTGGGCTTCCCGATGATATCGGCCTGGCGCTGGGCGGCCATCTCCACGGCGCGGACCAGACAGCCGGTGCCTGCGGGCAGAGAGAGGGGTGGGACAGCGCGCCCGGGGGTCAGAGGCGTGGACCCGCCCCCGCGGCCCGCCCCCGCC